ACTCCCTGAGGCCATCCCATCCTTGCAGGTACGTGTCTATCCCTCACCACCCCCGGGGCAGCTGTCTGGAGCCCCCTCGCTGAGCTGGAGACAGCTTCTGGTTTTATGGGGTCCGCCTGGGAATAGGGGCTGTCAGGCAGAGCAGGTGGAGGATGAGTTACCCACCAAGGGAAAGCTAATTGCCCGCTTTCAGACAGGGTGATGTTTGTGTCTAAGTCATCAGCAGAGTGCAACACATCTTCACGATTCAAGAAAACAGAGAGGAAAAGGGTGTCAGTCAATGCCAGGTCTCTTCTGGTGGAGGGGATTTTGCCAGATTTGTGGGTAGGAGTGGGTATGGACTGAGCCAGAGCTGGGGTACTTCTGTGCTGATTACACAAATTAGGCATTCAACTGAGTCTGAATTTTAGGCACTTGCCTTAAAAAAGCACCAAGCAAATTTTGGAAATATGTATCCAAATCCAACATATCCACACCCACTTCACAGGGTATGTTCATGACGTAAACACTGAGCTTGCAGAAAAGGAGCAGAAAACGATGCCTCTGTCTGCTAAAGGACCGCTTCCCCTGCTCACACAAACCCGGGTACCTGCCTGGCATGCTGTTTGTTGGCAGAGGCAGAGCTGCAGGGCAGTGAGGAATGCAGAAATGGAAAAACCAAACTCCCAGGGCACTGCAGGGGCACCTGGATGACAGAAGGAGGTTCTACATGGACTGGTGACCAAGCACTGCTTCATCAGGGACTTGTCGTCTACCAGACCACCCCTCTGGTCTTCCCATCAACACGGCGTTGCACTTCTTTTACAAGTTTGGAATGAAAAGCACTTTGTGCCTTTTGTTCTCACCGAGAGTGGAGCAGCAGAAGGGAGAGCAGCGGTGGACACTGCTGCCGTGGTGCTAATGGTCGCATTAGCTGGAAAGGGGCAGCCAAAACAGGATGTGTAAAACCCCACCCAGGCTGCCCTTTAATTCGCTGTTACATGGAGTGGAAGATTTGAAAGCATATTTCTGGGTAATTAATTCAAAGAGTGATTCTAATGGCTAATGCTGTCAGTTTTGACTGCAAGGGAGGTCTGGGGCTGGAGCAGGCAGTGAAGGGAAAGGAAAATGCTTGGAGGTCACAGGCAGACGTTAAAATATTTTGACAGCCCACATCCAAGAGGCTAACCTAATGAAATGCTTTGGCCAGCACCTTCCAAGAGGTCTGAAACTGAATCCATTTATTTTTCTCCAGTATAGCACACATGGCTTGGACACTGTCTCGTCCATAAATCACCATTCCCCGTTTGGTCAGCAATGCCATCAATCATTCTCTGTGCCCACCAGCATGCTCTCTGTGCCACTGCAGAAGCACTGGTAAGAGGGATTTGGTGTCTCTCGAATATAACTCCCAAATTTTCGGTGACACTCAGGGTAAGCTCTACCTTCATCTCCCCTGATTATTAAAGCCAGCGCATCAAAGGTCCTGCACCTGTGTATGGAAATATACCTGATCCGTGGTGCTGGGGAAATGAAATTAGGAAGCTCTATTCATGGTGTTATTATCTCCGGCTGCTTGGAAGGATTTAATCAAACTGCTGCAGCTTGCTGATGAGGATGTCCGCAGCCTATGAGTTTGGTTCCCTCTGCACTTCATATCCCTGTGGCATTTACTAAACCCCTCCATCCTACCCCAGCAGGCTTGGAGTCAAGCACAGCATTTCCAAAGGATGTGCTGGGGACCATCCTGCTGGGGTTTTTCAAAAGACTTGGTCAGGAAACCAGGAAGGCACAGCTCCTGGCAGTTCTGTTCACTGGCTTTCACTGCCTTTCTTGTGCTTCAGAGAGCACTCGGAATAAACAGACAGGGAGAGAAAACTTGTGAATGCGGAAAATAACTGGGGGATATTTGATTCAGGTTTGATTTCTGAAGCAAGGTATGGGTCAAGTCTGATCCTTTTTGACCTCCTTTGCCTGTGTCTAGGAGATGGAATCAGCTCCTGCTCTGTATCATTTCCTCACTTCAGCATCTGTAGTTCCTATACTTATTGTAACAGGGTGTGTTGATAAATTGGAAGGCACATCCCTCATTTTCTGTCTTATACTTTTGCGCAGGACTTTATTGGAGGGAAAAAAAACTTTTATTTTTCAGCCCAGTCTGGTGTTTCTGCACTTCAAGCTGGGTGGAGGCACGCTGTGTGCCTGTACCACTTGCAGATGCACACATGAGGTTGATTGGACCAAAGCTGGCAGATTTCCACTCCAATTCACTGCATCCATTTTGCTCACCTCTCTAAAAAGCAAAAAAAGAAAGACAGCTGTGTGCAGACCTGGACATACACAGCGTTATAGGTGCCAATATGTCTAGTACAGACCATCACAGAATTTGGAGCAGTTTCACCAGCCTGGGGCTCCCACAATTTGCCTTGGGTGCCAGGTTTGTGTGTGGTAGCAGGAGACAAAAACTTCCTCTGTCTGTACGCTCAGAAGCTGATGTATCACTGAAGGAGTTGTATAGCACTAGAGATGTGCAAATCCATCCACAAACCAGATGCATACTTCCTTTGTATGCAAGCTCTGTCACTCCATAGATTAATTAGGTAAGTACTTGCCCCATAGGCTAATCAGCTATATTTGGGCATGCACCTGGACTTACTGCAGGGCTAAATTGAGCATGTGTCTCCAGAGTCCAAAAATGTCTGGAACTCTTGATCACGTTGATTATATATATATACATTTTTCTGAGTTCTGTAAAGCTCCTGATCCAGTAAGAAAAAAGGCTGCGTACCTGCAGTCCATCTATCTGAACACATTTTTCATTACGAGTGCTGCAGGATGGCAAACGAACAGCAGCATCTACATACACATACGATTAAACCATTCCTTACACAATATCCACCTCCAGGTACCCCAGGAAAATCAATACCTAACATTCCCAGATCAGCAGCAGTCATCAGTCCCTCTTTGCAATCAGTAAATAGATTCTCCCCCCCCTCGGCCCAACCAAAGGACGTGGGCGACAGAAGGCAGATGCAGCCCTCGCACTCCCCTCTGAGCAGCTGCCAAAAAGCCCTCTCTCCCCTCGTGCGATAATAATGGAAGGGACGGCGCTGTCAGGGTGTGCCGGCGTGTTCTGCCTCGCTGGCCAGCGCGGGATGCTCTCCCTTCACGCTCCGCTGCCTCGCACAAGTTGCCTCCAGCAGCCCTTGCCAGCCCCCTCGATATTTTGGACGCTGAGCGCTGCATGAACAAAAGGACCTTGGTGCTTGGCTGGGAGTCGAAGCAGCTCCTCTCCGTGCCAGCAAAGAGCTCCCAGACTGTGACTGGTAAAAAAAGAGGAGAGGTTTCCTTTTAGCACTGTATCAGGAAGGGATGAGGGGTGGCTGGGAAAGGCTTCTCCCTCCCTGTTCTTTCTAGTCCACCTCTGCAAGCCAGGAGAAATTTTTGCCTGCTGAAGAAGGGTGTGAAAGCACCTGGCGGATTTTGCAAGTGTCCATTAAGATACACCCAGGACTTCGGTGCTAACTCACATGCAAGCTTCCCATGGCAATGCTGTGAAAGCACGTAACATAGAGCAGAAGCACCCTGGGATCAGAGGCGGGCTAGCAGAGCTGCTCAGGGGGAGCAGGAGAAGGAGGGCAGCTTTGATTCATTGCAGCCCCCAAATATCTCTGCGGTTTTGCCTCGCTCTGCAAAAGTCTCCCAGGTTCACTCGTTCCTGGGAGATTTCTTTCTTCCTGCTTAGCAAGCTCACAGCAGCAGCTGCTGAAAGGTCTGAGCTGCACTGAAGCTTAGAGCTCAGAAACGCATCTCCTCTTGCTGGGAGCAGAAGCGAAAGCCCAAACTGAAGGAATTTTCTGAGGCAAACACTGTAATTCTTACAGCACCAAAGCCCACCAAGTACTGGGGGGCATGCAAAGCCTGGTATTTAATCCTTATACCATGCAAAATAATTAGTATAGGGGAAGGCACAGCGTAACAGTGCTTCACATTTATTTTTACGTGTCGTTTTCTCACTGTTTCTTTGGATACATCTACATCTCTTTTTCCATCACTCTATGAGAGGGCACTGGTATCTTTATGCTCTGTTTTCCCTTGGGGGAAACTGAGGCATGAAGCAATGACAGGATGTGGCTGGGGTGCTCTGACAACAGGCTGCAATCCCCACTCCTCCAGTCCTGAAAACCCAGGCACAGGGAGTCCCCAGCTGCATGCGGGGAGGTAAGAGCAGAAAACTGCAGCATGGCTATTATCTCCGGTGCCTTTAGAAATAACCCTTTATCCCGGTGTCTGGCAGAGCAGTCCTCCTAACTTGTTAATGTGCTTGCTTAAAACCGCTGCCCTTAAACTTCTGCCAGTGCTGAAGTTAATGCACTGCCCTTTGCCACCTCAAGCGAGGCTGTGCTGTGGAAAGCTGCGCTGGGCTGATTCATGTCAGGACTGTATAATCAGAGAGAAGGGAAAACTTGGGAAGTGGCTCTTAGCAGGTACCTCCTGGGTTGAGAGCAACTGCTTTTTTATGTTTGAAAAACAGTGTTTTTCTCGGAAGAAAGGAAAAAGTTATGTCTGCAAAACTTGTACAACTTCTACAAGTCTAAAACGACTCCAGGCTTTCTGTGAAATCCCCATGCTCTTGCTGATGAGAGGACAAAATACCAGACATCTGCCCAGGATGAACAGGCAAAGAGGGAGGAAAAACCTTTTCACTAGCAGAGCATACAGATGCTTTAGAAACAACCAGAATTTTTCTTCAGCTTGAGGGTGGATAAAATGCTGATGTCAAGCCCAGACCCCAAGAGCAATACCCAACCTATGATTAGGATGACTAATTTCGCTTGCTCATACAAACACACACACCCTTCACCCTGCTAAGGATGGGTTTATCAGCCTGTGTGTGCCAGCCCAGCTCTGAGCTGGATGTGTGCAGATGCAGCTGAGCTGCCTATTGCCTTGTCCTGAGACTTGTCCAAATCTTGGGGCAATGTTGGCAGATGCTAGGAAAGTACATGGTTTTGGGCTGCTGTGAGGAGGCGCAATGCAGTGCCCCTGGAGCAGAAACAGCAGCAGAACAGGGCTGGGGAGCATTACAGTAAGAAAACCAACTGGAATAAAGCCCCTGTAGAGCCAAGTTTCAAAGGGATCTTGACTTCATAGGGGTCTCATCTTAACCCCATATATAAACATGCCACAAAAACACTGAATCCCAAACACGACACCATTCAGCCATGGTATCAGTGAGCTTGTTGTCCGTAACATTCATATTTTGGTATGGTGAGGAGCACATGGGACTGAGTATGGGAAGCTACATCAGCATGGGGGAATCAAGCTGCAGGCAATGCACTAGGACTGGTCCCTGGGGAACGGATAAATGGGCAGCAGTCAGGAGCAAGGTTCCTGGAACAGGTTCACCAGAGACTGAAGAATGGCAAAACGAGAGAGCACAGGTTGGCATTACGCCTTGTTGGCAAAGCTCTCTGAAATGCCGGGGAATGGAGGAGCAGAGAATGATTTTGGCCAGGATTCAGCGTGCGCTAGAAGTGGTGTGCATGTGTGAGGGCTGGATAACCAAGGCTTTGGCAGGTGGAGGAATAAAAAGGGGCTTATCTGTTATGTTGCAAAACCCAAAATTTCATGGGGGGAAAAATATGCAGGAGTCAAATTAAAACAGAACATTTGCAGGAGGAAGAATTCAGCTCCCTGAAAAAAAAATAAATAAATAAATTAGGAGTTAACTTGAAGTGTTGCATTTGTGGTGAAACATAATACAGAATGTTTGACCCTTATTTCTTTAAAAATCTTTTGAAGATTAATTTTTTTTAATGGAAAATGTCATTTTGATAAAACCAAAAAAAAAAAAAGAAAAAAAAACAACCTTAAAAACACTTCAGAATGAAACACTGCAACATTTCCAAATATTTATTTCCCTTTGAAGGTGTTGAAATGCAGTGTGTCACACTTCCCTACAGCTTTGCTATGCTCTTTTTATTCAGTCTAAATCATTTTCTCAATGTAACCTTAGCAGTTTTAGTTCCCTTGAAGTTCTGCTTTTTGGGATGAATCTACAATTTTCTGAAGGAGTATCTGCTCAGTTTTACTTCAGACTGAAGTAAATTAGTAGAGCTGTTTTGGGGAAGGAAATACTCAGTTTACTTCCTGCTGTTAGAAATGCTGATGGCCTACATTAACAAAACATCACTTTCATGAGACGTGGGCTCATCTGAAAGCACATAGAAGAGAAGACTGAAAACAGAGCTGAGGAATTATAAAAAAAAAAAATAATTAACTGCATAAAAAGGCTACTTACATTTATGAGATTTCTTAAATAGCATTTAGATGGAAAGCTGATTCTTCATTTTTGTCTCTGCTGGTATTTTTTCTCAGGCTATCTGAAATTTGGGGAGTTAAGGGGAGAAAAAAAAAATCTTGCATTGCACCATATATGCCAAAAGAAATGCAATACAATCTGATTTTACTTCTTTCTCGCATGCCTGAATGTGCTCATTTTTGCTTACAAAAGGAAAGACACAAAAGAATTGTAAGAAAAGGAATCAGATGGTGCCGCCCGATACTGTTTCACAGCTATAACATGAAAACAAGCCCAGCTTCTTCTGCTGACACGCAGGTCTCAAAAAAAGGGTTATTATTCATTTTAAAGGGAATTCTCTTAAAGGGAAATTACTCTGAATTCAATAAAAAGCACCATTTATTATTTCTGAGCAGAGCGGTTGCCTCCTGTTGCTGACATAGGGAGGGCCGTGAAGACAGCACGCCGCACGCCTCTCCCTTCAGCAGCACTCCCAGAGTCTCTCTCCAAGTCTCCTAAAACTCCTGCATCCCTTGCAGGTGGACCCTAAGAAGGGACCTACTCCCTAGGGACTCATTCCTTAGCTATCCCTTCCTTGGGTCATGCATGGCCTTGAAATGTTCCAAGGTTGCATGCCTGCTGGATGACCACAAGGGTTTCAAAGGACCAAATCCCTCAAATGCACTTTGGGAACTGCTACTTTCCTGTTCTTCCCTTGGTATTTCCACCTTTGCCTTCCAGAATTTAGTGGATTCTTACATAGTTCAGGTCAGAGTAAAGACCAAGACAAACTGCAGTCCTAATATCATCTAGTCCAAACACTTTGTGACTTCCTAATATGCTGGAAAAATAACATCTTAGCACCAAGTAGAAGGAGAAGCATTGGATAATAATGGCTAATTTTAAGTCCTACTTAGACAAACAGCCATTTGCAGCACTGACTGAGTGCCACACTGGAAAAAAACTACAGCAGCAACCTGTAACCCAACTAGCACCAGCTGTGCAGTTGGTTCAGCTACCATGACCTGTCTTTGAAGGCTCGCCTGTTGTTTATGTTGTAGTGAGGTCTCATCCTTCTAGATTTCATCCTCAAATCTCAAGCACAAACTGAAACAAGGGAATTCTTGCTGCAGATCATGGGACACTTAGGTATACTGCAACCCACCACCACGCCCCTGGTGCTCAGTACCAAACTGTAGCACCACCCCGTCTACCTTTGAGAGAAATCTGCTTCTCAGCTTGCAGTTTTCAACAGCAAAGCAACAGGTCCCAGAGAATCCAGAATCTGTCTTGCCTTAGAAACCTTTCAGTGCCTCAGCTAAACGTGAGGCCTAGGCCTCATGTCCCTGTATCAAGCAATAGCACAATGTTCAAAAGAATCCAGAAGGATTCTAGCCTTTGCTCATTACCATCAGTTTGTTTTATAAACCCAGACAAGTTATGGAGTTCATATGAGAAACAGGAACCTCTTTAATGGTTATTTTTAGACACTTCCAAAGCTTTCTGATAGAAACCTGTCCATGAAAACATCCCAATGAAGGAGGCTTTATGCAGCTTGTTATCTGAATAATCCACAGTACCATCTCCCTCTTCCTGCATGATTTCTGCTATATTTAAGAAGCCTAAAGTAGCAAGATTAGGAAGACTAAAGTAGTCAGAAATATGCCCTGAAGAAGCAAGCTATGGCTCCTAACTTAATGCAAACATCTGCTAAGGACTGAGAACTGGAAAATCAGCTTTGCAGTATTGGCCCTGGTGTCTCAAAGGCAGAAGGGGATTGCTCCTAGACTAGAGGCAGCAAAATTGGTGTATCCTCTGCCCCTGCTCACAGGGAAGAACCCCAGCACTGCCTCAGCCAAGAGGGCCAGCACTACCCTGAGGATACTTTTACCGTAAGGCACAAAATAGGTGTCACTTTCCCCTTTCCTACAAGCGCTGTATGATAGCAGAGTGGCTCAGAGCCAGCTGCCTCCACTTCAAGCACACCCTTCCAAAAAGCAAGGATCTGACCTACAAAAGCTTCTTTTAGTATGAGCCACAGGAGGACCACCACCCTTCCTTTCCTCTAAGGCACAGCAGCAAGACACCCACTTTCTCCTACCAACCTCCCCCTCAGCCTGCCCTTTCCCTTTTATCACCTTCAGCAGGGCCTGATAGCTTGATAAGCACAGGTGAGGGCATCCCCCAGCTCTTCACTTATCCTTCTCTTATTCTATGTGCCTACAAAGCCAGAAGGAAAGTAAGATAAAAACAAAAAAATGTGAGTGGAACTCCTCAAACTTAGTAAGTACAAAATATCTTCAGGACAGGTAAGTAGTCAGAGTGAAGTGGGAACTCCTGAAAATTCAGACCAGAGGAAAACTCTGCTCTGAAGTTCAGGAGGGCAAGAGTTACTCCAGCAATTTGAAGAATATTTCGTTGCCCAGATGGTGCCTTGAACACAAACTGTCAAAGTCATTACTCTGACTTTATTATCAGGGTTATGTTTTCTTTATTCCTTTTAATATTCCATATGCTGGTCATATAATACATTTCTTTGTATTCTAGTTCTCTTTTATTCTCTTTGTTTGCTCCATTCATGACTTATCACCTTCTGGTGGCAATTTAATTATTGGATCTATATTATTAGTATCTTTTTTTTAGAATATAATAAAAAATTCTGTACAAGACACTGCAAGTAATTCAATTTCCATCAGTGAGGAAGGAAGTTGGTTGCATTCAATGAAAGGGAGGAGAGTACTTGGCTATAACATTTTTAATAAAAATATAATAGCACTTCAACTTTTTAGCATCTTCCATTTGGAGAATCTTGTGGCTTCATAATCATTAATAATGCTTAACTTTTCCACTGCACTATAGTTTTTGCAGCACTATCTGAAGGCGAAATGGTATCATCCTCTCTATTTTTGGTAAAAATGTGAAAGCCCATACAACCTGGCCAGCCACAGTCACTCTTGCAATGAGATCAACCTGGAGAGAAGGGGGTTACCTGCTGACCCAGAAGGAACATGCCCTGCAACACACCCTGCATCTCAGCACACACTGATGGGAGAGGTTCAGTATCCAAGGCAAGATCTAGTTTTGCAGGCTGATCCCAGTGTCTGTGTAGTGGCTGCCTGATTTATCCTCTACTACAAGGATCCTTTAGATCAGGTCTATGAACCTATATCCTAAGCAGGAAGGAATATATTTTGTTATGCATTCCTTTCAGTTTCTTTACTCCCCAGTAAGATGGAAAAAAAATTACATTGCTCTCTAAGAATTAATGTCGCCAAATAATGTATATGATACTTCAAACTGGCTTTTTTTTTTTTTTTTTGTTAGCTCTAATTTCTTCCTCAAATAGGTAGGTTCTTTCTTTTCCTATCTGTAATGCCAGTTCTGCTCCTGAGACTCCAAACTCAGCACTCAGAATGACAGAAGATGTTATTTTCTGATCACTAGAGTGTTCAGAGAAAGAGCTTTCCAGATTTTCTTCTACTTTAAATACAAGTCAGTCTTCTTGTCTGTAGATCAAAGCTTTTGTGACTTTTTTGTTTGTTTCTGCAGTTGTTTCCTAGGGTCAGAAATGATTTCAAACACAATGGAGAAAAAGAAATCACCTTTTCTTTTCCTTTAGCTTTTTAAATGAATATAGTAAAACATTTTCAACTCTAAAATTATCACCCAAACTCAAAACACCCACCAAAAAACGGGGGGAGGAGGGGAAAGGGAGGGAGAAAGAAAGAAAGGAGGGAAAAAAAAAAAACAGTCATGAAACTAGCATGTGTGTAGCAGATTTTTTTTTTATTTTTATTTTTTTTTTATTATTACCAGGGAGTTATTGTATCTGCGAGCCAAAACAACAGCACTCCCTGATGCCAACTCCAGCTGTTCCTCCCTTGTAAAATTTATGAGCTGTTTTCAAGAGCCCGAATAGATCTTGTGATGGAACTTCAGCATAGCCACAAAGATATTTTTAATCGCTGCAATGTTGTCAGGTTTCCCTGTGACACAAAGCGTGCTGTTAGTTGGCTGATTAGAAAGTGTACTGGAGATACTGGCCTGCTGGGTCACTGAGCTAAAGGGAAGAGTCCAGCCAGACTTCGGATTTACTCCAAATCCTTGCTGGGAACACCAACAAACGTGCTGATAAAGGCAGGCTGAAATAGTTTTAAACAAATGAGAGCACTAGTGGGGGAATTTGGTATCCTTCCATGGGGTGGTTCACAGAGCTCCACGTATCTCACACTGTAGGCAAATGCTGTTCAATACTCAATGATATCCTCAAACTGTGCAGGTTTCTGGCTGAACTTGTGGTAGATATAGGAGACTGGCATCAGTCTAAAACATCAGGCCTTTTTATGTTTAGGTTCTGATGTAAAAATGACATCCTGAGCATGATTTGTCATTAGAAGTGATCCAGCAGGTATCATGAATGTAAGAATTCTATCTCATGTAATCAACATTCAAATTTCATAATTATAATTTACCTTTCTGTCTCTGCTTCCCCCAAGGAAATACCCGGTCATTATAAAATCCTAGAAAAGACCACAGTTTTCCTATTAGGAGACCATTCAGCAACATCACCCCTGCATTGGTTGTCCAAAGCAACCAAAGCTAAGGCGAGTTATCACCATGCTCAGTAAGCTGGAGGCTTTTTAGCTCAAATACTCCACCCTCCATACATGTTCCCAACCACCAGAAATGGATAAAGAAGCATTAACAGATAACAGAGATCATGCAGCCATTTACCAACAAGGCCTATGCCATTTCTGAGACCGTAGCTTTATAATATTTTCATGTCACAGACATTAAAAACCTCTAAGGATCTCAAGACCTGTGAAGCCAGAGCCTTAAAATATCTGCCAAGGACATACAGTAAAGGAAATAAAAAGTTAAAGAGGGAATCGGAAAAGTAGTGGAATTATTAATTGCTACCGTTTAAACAAAGCTGTCTGTAGTATTAGGACCCTTTGTGGCTTGACATTTGTAGTCTTGGTAAATTAGAGCCGTAAAAGAAATAGGCCTCTCTGGATACAGGTAAAGTCAGGTATAATACTAAGGGTCACTAGCTAGTTCTTGGTCCCTCAGCTTATTAAAGTTTAAAAAAAGGAAAAAAAAAAAAAGAAAAAAAAAGGCCTATAGTGCCATCCCCAATTTGGCCCATGCAGAGGAGATTGGGACACATCTCCACAGGAGGCACAAACTGGCCTAGCTGGCCTGCAGAGAAGACAATGTCATTAGCAAACAAGTCAAAGGACTGATGTGGAAAGCTGAAAAATCATGGCTTCATCCTCTCTTCCCCTTTGAGATGATTTGCATGAATAGCAGTGCAAGGAGCAATCTGCCCCTCTCTCTTGCCTGCCGAACCGTAGAGTGTCTAATCCAAATCTCTGTTAATATTTCATTTGAGTTCAGTAGACTTTGGAGCCAGCCCCAGGCTCAGACTTAGCATGTCTTTTTGGAAGCTCAGTATCTGATTATTATTAAGATGTGAGAGGCTCCTGTGAAGCAGAAGCCTTAGCATTCCTGTCGAAACGAGACTTGAAGCACTGAATGTGACAAAAACTAGATCTGCTGAGCTGAATCTTCCTCCAAACTCATGAATCTCAGCACTGCTCCAGGAACACAGGAAAGATATGGAAGTGATGTATTCAGGTGACCGGAGATATTTTAGCATGATATCATGTAGCCTGTAGTTCCCATTGTGAGCAGCTTTCACGAACTTGCTTCTCTCTGGGACCTTGGTTAAGGATAAGCTTTGATGCTGTGTATATCCTCGAGGGACTTTGCACTTGCTCTGAGCTACAGTGGTGGTAGAGTGTGTCCCCTGTTCTGCCTGGTTATTTATACAACACAAGGCATAAGAGATGCAATGGCATCAGATACTCAGTGGTCAAAGCTGTATTTGTATCTCTTTCTTATACTTGTGTATATCTTGACTTGGCCAGAGAGTTATCTGAAGGACTAGGAAGCAAACAAGTAGACTTCTAAGCCACCTCCTTTTCAGTTCTTCATCCTGCTTATCATGGGACTTGGTGCGAAGGGACTGGCAAACCAAACATGTCAGACATTATAATGCCTCTCACTGAGTGAAGGTACATGGTGAACCTTGTACCCTTTCTAAATACTGGAGCTCTCCCAGCTATCTTTGGTGTTTGTAATTGTTCCTCACTGTCACCTCAGCATCTTCCCATTGTTGTTAGCAGGATGCAAGTCCAAAATCTCCAGGTAAAATGGTGGCATGTCTCCTTAAAATGTAGAAATACTGGGAGTGAATAAGAACAGAAGATTCCACAGTTCCTTGTGTGTTTCCAGGATTATATTTTTAATAGAGAACATTGATATGACTTGATATAATTGATGAAAGGAGATCATAATTTGACCATCACACTAGTGGCGTCTATCCATAGCTGTTTGGTCTGTTCCTACAGTTTTGAGTTTGCTCAAAGGTGTTGTGAGCTGTTCTGGAGTCTGTAACGAGTGATGTCATGTGGTTTGAATGTAACATGGTTCTTTGTTCCTTCCTGAACTAGGCAATTACTGTGCAGCAGTCACCAGAAACAATGACACTTGTCCTAATGCAAACTAGTAGAATAATTCATCAGCATCCTCCAAAAAGACTGGAAGAGATGCATGAAGAGCTTGCCTCAGCTTAATTAAGTCACACGAGTGGGATGCCAAAATGTAACCTTCATGCCATGATCATTTTATCCCCAGGAGGACCACAAATCCTGCATGTGTTCAGGGAAAGAGGCAGAGCTCTGCCATTAGCAGTTTCTGAGTTACACAGGTGGATGGCAAAGCAAGGAGCAAAGAGCCATTGCTGTCTTCCCTATGAAAGAAGGATTAACAAAGAGTCTGTCAGTAGGAGCCTGCTAGTGAGAGATCCCCATAATGGCAGAGCAAGTGAATAGCATGTGTTTAAAGAGCCCATAATCCTATATTTACACAACAGTCCTTAATGGCTCATTCAGAGCCATTGCAAAGAACCAAGTAAATAGTGTGGTTAGAAAGTCTGTTACTTTATATTTACTCACTAGACCGTCTGCTGTGGGAGCTGTGAATGTCATGGAGAGCTAAAAGGAGCATTCTTTTGATTTTATTTTTTTAT